GGGGGGGGGGGGGTGACCGTATCTTCTGCGACCCTGTGGCCTGTCAGCTAGCCTGGGCTTCGTGGGCACATTCTCTACCCTATTCTTGGGGTGACAATTGGTCCCACTGCACATGTCCTCCATGCAGAAGCAGTGAGTTGGAAGGGACCTCCCACCACAGCCTTGGACACTTTCCTGTCCAGGGCCCAACACTCTGCCCAGCACCACCACATTCTCATGTCAAAGATGTAGGTCAGTGGCCCCTGTCACCACCTAAGGGGTTCTCCCTGTGGGAAGTGGGCAGGTCATAAAGAGGCACAGTCCTGTGCAAGCTGCCATCAGACACTACTAAGTACAAGGTGCTAAGGCAAGAAGGGGCGGGTGACAGGAGGGGCTGTGGCTCCTTCAGCGGGGGGGAGAGGAGATCCTGACCTGAGGCCTTCTCCACAAACGTGTCTCCTTATCTTGGCGATCTAGATTTTGTGCCTCTTAATTATGAATATTTTTAGCTTCATCCAAGTTAAATATCTTTTGTCCTGTTTTGTTCTTCTGAGACGTGGTGCTGCTGTGCAGCCTGGGCTGGCCTCAGCCTCCTGAGTGCCGTAATTACGGGCCTGGGCCATCATGCCTGGATTCTTCCAAACAGGAAAAGAAGTTTCTGGATTTCTTGTAGTCGTGAGTTCTTATACCAAATGTTTCACTTTATGTGATTTTCTATAGCCTAAGTTTCAAAACTATTCCTAAATGAAGATTAAAATAACTTAGTGATAAATACCTAAAATGACAGTGTAGGAACGAAGTCTGAAGGTTGGGAAATGAAAACTCCATGCAGTTTTAGCTCTTCTGGTCCCAGACTAGTGATGGGCCAAGTAAAAAGGCTCATTTTCCCTGTTGATGGGCTTGTTTCAAGTTAACCCTCCCACCGCGATCCCTCCGGCAGCAAATGAAGCATTGTGAAATCCTTTCTAGTCCTCTCAATGGGCAATTAGACCTTCTTTAAGACAATAAATTTTGTCTGTATTGCACCTGATTATGCTCATTTATGGAGATGACTAAAAACAGTGAATCAGTGAATCAATTTTTTTTTGTCTGGTTATACAAAGATAATCATCAGAGCCAAACTGGAGAGGACAGCGGCCCTGAAACTGGGCACCTGGCACGAGCCTTGCTCTGCCCAGGGCAGGCTGCATGCATCCCT